AATTCAAGTTATGTGCAAAAACGCATGATCGCTCCGGCTCGCCTGGTGCGTTCCAGCCTACGTTTCAATAATACAGCACTGAAAATCAGTAACGAATATGAAAGCTTGTCATATACATGACTTTCAGTTGAAAATATTCAAGTAGGCGATAACGTTGTATTTAGGGCCCTAAACAAATACAACATTCAAATATCACTTTGTGCATAGCTAGTGCCTGCGCTGAATCGATCCTGTTTGGTCTGAAACACTTTCCAAGATTCGAAGAATTTGATTAGAAATTAAATTAACAGAAAGTCTACATGCAAAAAGTCTAAAAATGTTACAGTAAGCTTTTCTCATCTCTCCTGATTTTCAGAAAGCCAGAAAGCATAAATACGGGTGCCAACATTCATATATAAAGCAAGTCAAAAGTGTCATTCACAAACTAGAAATCAAAATCGAACATAGGTGCAGAAAAATATAAAAACTTTTGTTTACTCTATGAAAATTTCATACTTCCTAAAAAAAATGTGGAGGTGAGAAACTCAAAAACTAAAACTTTTTTGCGATTTACATCTTCATTCGTGTGCAAACATGGTAATATCTTGTTGATTTCTTGTCATTTTATTCATAAACCGCCATCAAATTTTCAAGATTTCAAATGCAAAGATGCCCAAGACAATTGACATGAAAGTCTCATTTTACTAATAACACTGGGATACTCTTCAGCGCTGAGTTTCAGAAATGGATACACTTCAGAAATGGGTGCAACAGATTGCGAAAACAAGCGAAAAAACCTAGTTCGAAATGTTTTGACAAAGTAGAGTGAGAAGATTGAGTTCAAACAAGGCTGCCAGTTTTGTACGCTCCTGTTTGGTGCCAACCATTAATTCGGCGTATCTGCGGCATCACTGGAGGCCAACTGAGTGGTCGCCAACTTGTTCGCGAGTACCGCTTAGTAAGATCATGGATCTGATAATTTCAAATGCAAGATTTACATCACCAGAAACTGCTTGATTCGTCACCCAGAAATAATTCCCAAAAATTTTTGTTTATGCTTGTAGGCGTCTTCAGTTCACCTGCGGCATAGTTCGGTGTACATCAGTGCAAACAGCCAAAGTTGCTCGCTTTACGTTTTTAAGCTTTGTAGCCATTGCAGGCTGCGCTCCAGAAATGGATACAACAGATTGCCGAAACAAGCGAAAAAACCCAGTTCGAAATGGTTTGACAAAGTAGAGTGAGAAGATTGAATTCAAACAAGGCTGCCAGTTTATAAACATCATCGCCAACGATCCGTAATCGTCCACAACCACACCGCCGTAGCTCGCGCTTAGGAAGACAATAAGTGGCACTGTTGAACAAATCAGCGGTGTCGCTGCCTGAAATGATCGATGTTAAAAGGTTAAAAATTATCGAGATTTACAACTTTCACAGTTCTTCTTTACTGTCACCCTTACTTCTCAGCTTGTTGACAATCGTCAGAAGTTACGTATTAGTAGTTAGTGCGGCGAGAAATCTCGGACTCTCGAAGAGGTAGCGCAAATATATCGGACATACACCGGATACTAATAGGACACATGCAACTCAGGATCTAATGGTTTGGCTTAAGTTCCGACGAGCGTATAGGAACAAATAGTAACATCACTAATACGGGACACCCACACTGTTGGCCTGGTATTTTTGGTACTACTTTTTGTTAGCTAAAATGAACTAGAACTTAACGGAGACATTCACTTGCATGAGGGATTTGAAGGATTTTTACTTGGTATCATTGCTTACATAGTGGTTTGATGTGTGTGAATTTCAAGCGATTACAATCCCTCTGTTTTCCTAACCTGCTTCTTCTCCATTTTCCGTTTGAATAACAAATTTTTTGGTCTGTCTGCTTTGAACTAAAAACTTGCTATGTAAAACAGAAAGTTTAAAACGCAAAAAGAATGGCGAACTAAATTTTTAGGAATTTTTTTACGCCTCATTATTTTGTTCCGATCAGTCGCAGTTCACAGCGTATTTCTTCAGCTGCATAGCTAGCAACTTTCCCAGCTGTTTTGACCAGTACAGTTTCGGTGCTTATAGTCATAAAAAAGTACTGCATTCTTTCGTAATCTGTTTCCCCTAAGTTTCCCGCAATTTTGCTGAGTGTAAATTTGGGTTGTGAGTCCCCTCTTTTCGCATGTACTAGGTATTTCTGCATGCGCTAGACGTTCTTACATTGCACTGAAAAAATTGCTTTAGTATTCCACTTATGGGATTTATTTGCCATGAAGTGATGCACAAAAAAATAAATAATATCAAAAAGAAAGCAAGTAACTATGCAGCAGCACCTGGAATAGCATAACGATGGTGAGCTGTCGTTGAAGCATTTTCGTTCTTGCTGCCGTGGCATTTTCTCGCAACGTTTTGAGTATACAATGGGATGTTATGAAAATGATACTGTATGAAATTGTCGTTGAAATGATGAACACGAGGCTTATCACAGCGAACACCCACATTAGCTAAAAGATTAAAGATTTCAGCCCAGACTGGATTTAACTCAGACTTTTATCCCGTCAACCTCAGTAGTCTGTTGCGGACAAGACTGTGGCTAGCATATCTGTGTTTTGATGTTTCTGATACTGCCAGTGCAGGACAACTGGCAGGTTTTTACGCACTGAATAATATGTCGGCTGTTGTTTCATCGCCACGTCACTTCTCGTCCCTAACGCATCTGGCAACTTCTTTTCTTTAGTTTAGGCCCCACCCATCCATACGATTCCAAAAAATGCATCTTCCAAACGGGCATTCCTAAGTTCTTTTAACATTGCATGGGTACAATTTGTTGTCTCGCATTCTTGGCATATGTCTCGAACAGCTTGTTCTTCTAGTGTTCACTGCCCTGATAACCATTTTAATCGAAACTGTGGTACATCACTGTAAATGTGAAGATGATAGCACAGTTTTGTGTTTGATCGATGAGGATATATGCATGGAGGCAAAGTCCACCATCACCTTGTATTTAACAACCACTGAAAGAGGAGACCCGTTTACAGCCTTGCTATTTGCTGACAAAAAGATTCTATTCTCATTGCTTCTTAGAGCAATCACCCATAAAAGATTTGAAGTTTTAATTACGATTTACCAAAATTGTAATCTCTCAAATAAATTCTCGCCCCATAAACTTCTTTTTAGTATGGGTATAACGAACCAAGGTAAGATAGTGACAAGGGACAAATCGTGGCAGCTCCGAGCATGTCAGGAAAACATTGTGTGACATTTTATTTTCAGCTAAATTTGGATGTATTTCTACCAGGCTAACGAGCAGGTGAAACAAGCAGTTGCATAACTCAACAAAAAATACAGCAGAGGCTACGTTCATGATGATAGATGAAGAGATCTGCAAGCAAGCCGTGAAAATTCGATGGATACTGAACGGAGCTGCGCAGAACCAAACTGGAGGAGCTGTCACGCGCTCGGAAATGAAAGACTAGAAGTCCGAAGTAATATTACCAGCGCTGGATCTCTATACCGATTGCCTGGCGATCTCGCTAGTTTCACATTAGTCAAAAAGCTTACATCTTTATAAACAACGATGATTAGTACATTATCCAGCAGCTGCAGCATCGGATTGAGAAGAGCTCGTTCATTGATGGAACTCATTATTCTGTTCGCTATGGACATGGCCATCGGAATTATCATGAGCAGTAGACAAACACCAATCACGTAACGGCGCTGATCGTACAAGCGAACTAGCCTGTGTTTCCTAAAAAGCAATCAATTAGCATAATGCAAAAGGTCGAAAAAAGATAAAAAATTTGTAAAAAATAAAAGTAGAAAAAATCGAAAGAAAGAATTTAAAACAGTCAAAAGATTTTTAAAAAAAATTGGTCTAATTTTTATGTTAGCTGAATTTAGTACCATACCCAGCTCCGTTTTGGCCCAACAGCGCAAATAAGGACAAAAAGAGAAATGTGAGTCAGCTTCACTTAGTGTTCGGCCGAAGCTATTCCCAAATATTGGACTTATTGGCTTTCCTAGTGGCAGTGTTAAATTCGAGGTTGTCTAATTCTGCAGTTATGCTTTTTCCTGCAGAAATTATCCAAAAAAGCATGCACAAACCCGCATATAAGAGCATATCGATAAATAAAGCCAACAGGCGTAACAAAAATTCTCAGCGTGAACATAAACATGAATAATGAATAAGTGAAATATGCAAAAAATACATGCATACTCGCAATAAACCCAAACATAATTATCGTAGTTCCGCGGTAAGACTGATGCATACCCTTCAAGTAGAATGCAAAGTGTTACTCGATTCCACTGAGAAAAAAGAGTGGGAGTACAAACAAAGGCTGGAACGCACCAGGCGAGCCGGTGCGATCATGCGTTTTTGCATCAAAACTA